CAAGTGTAAGCCACATCACCTGGTTAATTTTTGTGTTTTTAGTAGAGGCAGGGTTTCACCATCTTGGCCAGGCTGGTTTTCAACTCCTGAACTTGTGATCCACCCGACTCGGCCTCCCAAAGTGCTGGGATTACAGGTGTGAGCCACCACACCTGGCCAGGATTATATCTCTTATAGACAAAGTGAAGGGTTGGAATGAGCACAGATTCATAGAATTGGAGTTTGAAATTCACCAGGTAAGTGACCTCAATCCTCTCCTTTGGGGAGTTTTATTAATTGCTACCACTAGGTGTCACCTACCCAGCTGGAAGGAAGATAAAGCTCACTGAGGCTGGTGGGTGCTTGGGACTAAGACCTGTGCATTGTGCAACCCCTGGGAGATTTGGAAGCCTGGAGCAGTCTAGAGAAATTCAACCTTCCAAAAGAGTGAGCAACTGATTTGCTTTGGAAGGGGCTTATCATCAGTGCAGCCAGGTGGTACTGACAGGGGCCTGTGATGCTTTTGTCACCTTTCATGGAGCAGTTGTTCTGGCCAGGAAGTGAAGTGCTCACTTGTCCTGCCAGCCTCAGCAATGTGTTTTGGTGCCCTCAAGAACTGAGATGGATGGCATGAGCCAAAGTGAAAGCCAAAATGCTGACACTGGCATCAGCCACTTTTAGAGTCCAGGGGATAGTGGTGGAATTCTTTGTTGCCAAGGCTTCTGTGAGGCTTGGATCTCAGCACCTGGACCATAGTTAGTGTTGTTCCTCACTGGGGCAAATACATGAACTTTAGATACAGTCAGGAACTTGGCATGAGGGGCACAGCCACTGGAGGAGGTTTGAGTCCAGAACTACTGCTGGTGCTAATAGAATATAAATGACTTGCAAAAGGCAACCCTTGCCATGAAGAGCTCTCCTGCACGATGTGGGACACAGACTTAAAAGAGACAACTCTAAATTTACACTTATTATCTGTGGTGGGGAAGGAAGTGAGCTTTGATGTGAGAGAATGTATGTTCATGTGGGCCTTTTTTTCTTTTTTTGTGACAGAGTCTCACTCTGTCACCCAGGCTGGAGTACAATGGCGCAATCCCGGCTCACTGCAACCTTTGCCTCCCGGGTTCAAGTGATTATCATGCCCCAGCCTCCCAGGTAGCTGGGATTACAGGAGGTCACTACCACACCCAGCTAATTTTTGTATTTTTAGTAGAGACGGAGTTTCACTACGTTGGTCAGGCTGGTCTTGAACTCCTGATCTCAAGTGATCTGCCTGCCTGGACCTCCAACAGTGCTGGGATTATAGGTGTGAGCCATTGCGCCCAGCCACATGTGTACTTTTTTTTAGCACTAGACTCTAATTACCAAAATTCCCTGGAAGTAACTGCCTATAGCAATAGTCAGTGAAGCATGACATGAGTTATTTAGGTAAAACCTCATCATCTGTGTAAAGCCCCATCATCTGTGCATGCACCTGTTCCTAACCAATGCCAGTGAAGAAAATATGGACTGCACAAGTTTAAAAGTTTATTTTTATTTAAACTTTTTAAAAGTTTTCTTTAAAAGTTTATTTTTTAACTCATATAATCTCTATACAGAAATCACCAAAGTTTCAAAACTTAATGTTAGATGGGATGTTTCAGGTTTTTTAAGAAAACACACAAAAAATTGCAAAATGTAAATTATAAATGAAATGATTTTTTTCTTACCATGATTTACGAGAAAGTTGGTCTTGAGAATTATTCTCAGAAGCTGTAGTCTGCAACCTTTTATGACCTTCTCAAAAAGGGTATTAGAATATGAAGACATAGTGGAAAAATTTTTTGTTTAAATCTTCCCAAGTATCTAATGCTTCACTAAATCAGTTAGTCAAGGGCTGAAAAAGATGTAAAGTCAGTCGCAGGCATGCCTCAGTGATGCAAGGGAAACCAGGATCCATTACCACCCCTCAGACCCCAGGCCTTTCCCTCTGCTGGCTTGCTCTATGGTAGAGACCTGTTCCTTGAGTGAACACTGATTTCCCTTTGCCAGTGAGTCTTGGCCTGTGTCCAGAACATAAATGCGTAAAGTAGTGTAAAACCCCATCATCTGCACGTGCACCTGTCCCTTCTTAATCTAATTTATAATCAGTCCATTTCCCCAGAAATCCTTGTTTCTGCTCAGCCATGACAGGCCTGATTCGGGTTTTTTTTAATATTAGAAATAAATTTGGTAATGAATAGCTTTCTAGTACTTGCAAAGGTATAACAATAAGCTACGGCATTTTTGAGTTTTTACTGTGTGCTTTATAATCCTGACATTGACCCTTTGACGTAGATATTATTGCTATACCCCAGTTTATAGAAAGGTGAGCCCCTGGAAAGCAATATGGCAATCCTGAAAGAGCTAAAAGCAGAACTACCATTCAACCCAGCAATCCCATTATACTGGGTGTATATACCCAGAGGAATATAAATCATTCTGCCATAAAGATACATGTGAATGTTCATTGCAGCACTATTCGTAGTAACAAAGACATGGAATCAACCTAAATGCCCATCCATGAAAGATTGGATAAAGAGAATGATAAAGATAAAAAGACAAGAAATGAAAGAAAAGAAAATAATGAAGATAAAAGAAAATACATAGTATTCCATATACACCATGGAATACTGCGCAGCCATACAAAAACCAAGATCGTGTCTTTCATGGGAACATGGATAGAGCTGGAGGCTCTGATCCTCAGTAAACTAATGCAGGAACAGAAAACGAAATACTTCATTTTCATACTTATAAGCAGGAGCTAATGAGAACTTACACAAAGAAGGAAACAACAGGCACTGGGCTGGGGTCTACTTGACGGTGGAGGGTGGGAGGAGGGAGAGGAGCAGAAAATATTACTATTGGGTATTGGGCTTAATTCCTGGGGAATGAAATAATCTGTACAACAAAACCTCATGACATGAGTTTACTTATATAACAAACCTTCATGTGTACCCCTGAACTTAAAAGTTAAAAAAAAAAAAGAAAGAAAGAAAGGTGAGGCCCAGGGAGTGCAGTAGTCTTCCCAGTCATATGGTGAAGCTGTAGCCTACCAGGATTCCCAGCTGGGACCCAGGCTCCAGGCCCTGTACTCTGGTGCCTTTCACCACTGTACCTCTCAGGAAGTGTGTGCTCACCTGAGTCTGTGCTTGGAGCCCCTGTGTGCCTTTGACAGTATGATGGCAGCATGTCACAGGCTAGTACTCTGAAAGGGGTAGTCATTGGCCCTTCACTTGTATGAGATGGACTTTCGCCTTGATGTCTTCCTTCTCCTGGCCATTTCAGTGGCAGAACTGGTTTTCCAAAGCCTCAGTTTCTTAATTGGTAGAATGGGTCTAATTTTTTCCCTGCTTAAAATTCCTATGGGATATTATGAATCTTAAATAAGATAATATATAGTCATGTGCTTGTTAAACTATAATGCATTACCTCATACCAGATGTTATTGTTAGTGTAATTATAGCTTATTATTCTTCTTTAATAAAAAATGAGGCCTAAATTATATTTTTCCTTGAAATTACATTGTCCTGTTCTGATAAAAAATTACTTTTATGTCCTTGCCATGGTTGGGGCTTTCAAAAAAAGATTTACTTTTAGATTCTTTTTAAAATATGTAGATCCTTTTTTGCTTCCTGACAGATATTTTCCCAGTTTTGTGTTTCCTGTGGAAGAGGGGGGAAGTACACCATCAAAAACAATCCTAGAGAGCTTTCTTGATGGGCTCTAAGAATTTAGTTGGGAATCTCTACTCCTAGGGCTGTGCTGACATCCTTATTTATTAGTATATGGGAGCATTTTGAGATAAATTCTTGATCATGTAGAAGAGATTCTTTTAAGAGCAGAAGTCAGGAGGAAACATACTTTCTGGCTTCAATGATTACCTTATCTGTGCATAATAATAAGCTCTCCCTTGTATGCCACTTTTTCTTCCAGAATGTTCCAGAATGTGGGTTACATGGTTGTTAAAAGAACACTTTAAGAATACAGTAAATCAAATTACATTGCCTAAAAGTCTTTCAGTGTCACGGCAGATCCAGGACAGAGTGGCCTAGTTGCATAGATTGAGGTTGCTAAGTGGCTTCACTCAGCAGAAACAAGAAGCATCCAGTGTCACTTTAGGCCAGGATGTGCCCAAACCTATGCAGTAAAGACATAAAAAATGATAACCAGTTAGGATGGATGACGTCTCTAACTCACTCAAATCTATTTTTTCCCAAGGAAGAAATCAAAATGTATTAGTCTCTCAAAAAAAGAGATATCTTATATTCCACAAAAGGGTTAATACTGTGTACAAAATTTTATTTGTGAACAAAAGTCTCTTTTTGCTGGTGATACATCAAAGAATCATTTTTGTGGGTTAGTCTTTTCCTTTCCACCCCAATAAAATAATTGTTTGAGCTGTAGGTTTTGTTCAGATTTTATAGCCTAGCCAATGTGTTTTTATTTAGCCTTATTAAAGTGCCATGAGTTTCAGTGTGACTCAATTCTTGCCTGAACTTCCCTATGCTGACATTATATATGGATCCTGAAGTCCAAGATGATGGACCTCAAAATAACAAATGTACAGAGGCTTTATTTAAAACAAACAGTTTCCCTTTCAAATGCTTGGGATTTTATTTGTACTTATTATGAAATTGTTTAAAAATAGAATTGTGGAAGCACCCAAAATGAATCTACATTATAGTTATTTACTGAGTATGTATTAATATGATTTTAGTTTTGATATCAATATAATAAATCAATTCAGTTATCCCCTCAGCCCCCTTCTGCTTCAGTTAATCTGTTTCTTAAATGTTACTGCCTTGTTCTTGCAATCTGCACGGTGGCCCATCAGAGTTGTGCCCTGGGATTTAAATGAAATGGGAATACCTTCTCTATTAAATTCAGGTTTTTAGTGTCAGATTACTTTTAGTTTACAAGAAACTACATACAGTATTTGCATATTCAGTTATATATTTGCCTTCAAGAGTTGTGTTGCACACTCTTGAAGGCAAAGATGTATTTTAAGCCTGTTTGGGTTCCCACTGTTTAATAAATATGCATTAATAGTATAAATTACCATGTCTTCTTATTCCCTGACTCCTCTCTTGATTGAATTTTTTCATCCCTCTTAAGCTGACTAAAACAGCTTCTTTAGGAACTTTGTCTTTAAATTTCTTTGAAGAGCCTAGAACTAAATATTTTTAGCCTATTAGACCTAGCTCATTTTTTTGTAACATTTAGTCATTCCTCATTTACTATCTTGAAGTGAAAGTCAAAGATAATACAACTCACCTATACACATAACTTGTAAAAAAAGTTTATATTTAAATTCCTATCTTTAGGATAAAAGAGAAAGGTGCGGACAGTAATCCATGGTAAACTACTCTGAATTTCAACCATCGGTACTCTGGCACCACTATATGGGAGGCATGCCGAAATAGTAGGATGTGTGTACCTCTCGCACAGCCACCATGGGTACACCGCCCCTCAGCCCCAGGTGGACTGTCACAGGTGTGGGCCAGATTTGAGCCAAGCAAGGCCCTATTTAATTTCCCAAAGTATAATTTCTCCTGTATAATTTCCCAGTGTTATAATTTTCCAAACTGATGGTCAATTGCTGTTAAAGCTCTGAACACAGCGAAGTACAGTCTTTCCTCAGCTTACATGCTAATACATGCCTTGAAAATGTTAGCTACTAAACTTGAGTAGAAATATTTTCTTTATATAGTAAACAGATAGATTCCAGACTTAGAGCATTGTAAGTTTTTTATCTCCAAGGATGACAAGGGGGAGCATTTGAAAGTCAGGTGAGACATGGGACAGTTTTTCATGGTGCAGGGGAGCCCCACACTTTGCAGGGCATCAAGCAGGTTCTGCCTCCTGCTCATGGAATGTCAGTAGCATCCTCCCCCATCACTAGGATGATGAAACGCACCCCACAAATTTTGAAAAAGCCTACACAGTGAGAAACACTATTATAGAACATTGAGGATGCTTTGTAATGAATGTGATTTTGTTTTATTAAAGAGTATAATTATTGACAGCCAATGCAGTACATTGAGCTCCATAGAGACAGTGCCGGGGCAAGTGAGAGCCGGACGGGCACTGGGCGACTCTGTGCCTCGCTGAGGAAAAATAACTAAACATGGGCAAGGGAGATCCTAAGAAGCCGAGAGGCAAAATGTCATCATATGCATTTTTTGTGCAAACTTGTCGGGAGGAGCATAAGAAGAAGCACCCAGATGCTTCAGTCAACTTCTCAGAGTTTTCTAAGAAGTGCTCAGAGAGGTGGAAGACCATGTCTGCTAAAGAGAAAAAAAAATTTGAAGATACGGCAAAGGCGGATAAGGCCCGTTATGAGAGGGAAATGAAAACCTATATTCCTCCTAAAGGGGAGACAAAAAAGAAGTTCAAGGATCCCAATGCACCCAAGAGGCCTCCTTCGGCCTTTTTCCTGTTCTGCTCTGAGTATCACCCAAAAATTAAAGGAAAACATCCTGGCCTGTCCGTTGGTGATGTTGCGAAGAAACTGGGAGAGATGTGGAATAACACTGCTGCAGATGACAAGCAGCCTTATGAAAAGAAGGCCGCGAAGCTGAAGGAAAAATATGAAAAGGATATTGCTGCATATTGAGCTAAAGGAAAGCCTGATGCAGCCAAAAAGGGAGTTGTCAAGGCTGAAAAAAGCAAGAAAAAGAAGGAAGAGGAGGAAGATGAGGAAGATGAAGAGGAGGAGGAAGAGGAAGATGAAGAAGATGAAGAAGAAGATGATGATGATGAATAAGTTGGTTCTAGCGCAGTTTTGTTTTCTTGTCTATAAAGCATTTAACCCCCCTGTACACAACTCACTCCTTTTAAAGAAAAAAATTGAAATGTAAAAAAAAAAAAAAGTATAATTATTGTAGGAACCTATGGTTTAGTCACCTCCATACTGAATGATCATCATTTGTCTTGCTACTACATCATAAGCCTATCAAGGGCCAACATGTATCTTACTGTGTCTAGGGGATCCTACACAGTATCAGGCAATATATTGGTGATTGGTCTGTTGAATAAATAAAAACTCATAAACCATCTCCTCTATTTTCAAAGGAACTGATATCACTGTAATTAGTAATACATACCACTGTTATCAAGCTTCATTGTTAAAATATTACTGTTAAGCTATTAATTGCTAGATTGTAAAACCTAGAAAATAGCCAATGATCCATGCCTAGTTGGAGCAGGTTATCTTTCTTTTTATGTTGAATTTTTTTATTAATATCATTTAAAAGTAACATGTAAGAAAAAAGATGCTAGCAACATTTACAGACTGTGTGTTATTTTCTCCTTTAAGGAAAATTCTCTCTCATTGTTACAAAACTATAGAGAGCTTCTTGGTACAATAGGGCAGAGAAAAACAATAAAGAAGTCTCCATCCCCTGGGGTGTTGTGATCCATTTGGAGTGATGGACTACACATCTAGAACCATTAAAGCTAATAACTAAGTGCCCCGTGGAATAGTGATGTTGACAGATACAGTAAGAGTCCCAGGAAGGGATTATGATGAGTAATCAAGATAGTCAGAAGGCTCATGGAATGATAGGACTTTGAGCTCATCTAAGTGATGGGTGGAATTTGAACTGGTGAAGAGGTCCACATCTTCAGCAAAGGGATAAAAATGTAACAAAGGTTTAGAGGTGGCAGTTAACATGATAGGTGTGGAAGGCAGCCAGCAGGGCAGTGGCCAGGGATGATGGTGGGTTGGAGAAAGAGCATGACTCTTGGGGAAAAATGTAAAGAAAGTTGGTTGGCAGAGTGAGGGCCAAACTCAGATTATTTTGTTTTGGCCAAAATTAACTTTAAAAGACCAGATGTTAATCTTAAATGTTATACCTTTTTAAAAAGTATTCTTTTCAGAGGTTTGTTTTTATTTTACTTATTTGTGTCAGTAAAAATAAAATGTTGATGGTCAGATTTTAGATTGAGTGCTTAGTAGTCATACAAGTATCATAAAGCAAGATTTAGGTAAGAGAAAATGGTATCTTTTGTTTTTATTTACTGTATCATTTTATATTCCATTATATTTTATTGCCTTCATTCAGTTAACTCAAGTTAGAATAAATGAGAATACAAAGTTAAAGGAAGGCCGAGTGGAGAACTAAACTTGAATTGGAATCAGGAGTCACTGACTACTGTGCCAGCGTGGGCAATAACTTTACTATAATGAACTTCCGTGTTCCCGTCTTTAAAATGGTGGTAACACCTTATCCATAAACACACTACAGGTCCGTGGATTCAGTGTCATAACAGCCTATTGTGGCACTAAGAAGGCACTTAACGGATGTTAGTTCCCTTATTGGATTAAAATGAGATATTAACTCCTTTAAGATTAGGTACAATTTGTGTTGAGTCAGTACCATTAAAGCTTATAAAAATTTCATCATATCAGACAAGTATTTATTATGGGTGATCCTGGATTCTCTAAACTGCAGTTTCTTAATCTATAAAATAGGGATAAAAATACTCGTAGAGTTATGAGGATTAAGTGAGATAGTCAGCACAGTGACTGCTGTTACCTAGCAATCATACAGTAAGCACTATCATTAGTATAATGATGTTCTAATTATGATGCCTGCTGCATGCTACACATTTATATGGTCTCTGTATTCACTGCAGTCCTCAGTGGCATGTGTTATTAATGTTCCTATGTTTATATGAGCAGGAACCAAATACAGGGAACTTAAGTGACTTGCTCAGTTTCCAACTGGTTCATTAGTAAGGTTGGACTTGACCACAGATCTTCTGAACCCAAATCAGGTGTGGTTTCACTATGCCAGTGCTGCTTCAAGCCTTTGCAATGTGTAGGATAACCCTTTCCTTCAAATCCCCTTTTAAAAATGATTTATGACTGGATGCAGTGACTCATGCCTGTAATTCCAGCATTTCAGGAGGCTGAGGCAGGAGGATCACTCAAGGCCAGAAGTTTGAGACCAGCTTGCTCAACACAGTGAGACCCAGTTGCTACAAAAAAAATTTTGAAAAAAATTAGCCAGTGGGCGCGGTGGCTTGCCCCTGTAATCCCAGTACGTTGGGAGGCTGAGGAGGGTGGATCATGAGGTCAGGAGTTCGAGACCAGAGTGACCAACATGGTGAAACCCGATCTCTACTAAAAATACAAAAATTAGCCAGGCCTGGTGGTACGTGCCTGTAATCCCAGCTGCTCAGGAGGCTGAGGCAGGAGACTGCTTGAATCCCAGAGGTAGAGGTTGCAGTGAGCTGAAATCGCACCACTGCACTCCAGCCTGGGTGACAGAGCGAGACTACTTCTCAAAAAAAAAAAAAAAAAACCGAGGCATGGTGACACATGCCGATAGTCCCAGCTACTTGAGAGACTGAGATGAAGGATTGCTTGACCCCAGGAGATCGAGACTGCCTTGAGCTATGATCATGCCCCTGCACTCCACACTGGGTGATGGAGTGAGACCTTGTCTCTAAATAAATAAAAATGATTTATATAATGGTTTGGAAATCACTGGAAAAAATACTGGACCTTGCTTGAGACCCAGAGCCTCAAGTAACATTGTGTATAGTACCAGCCCTGCCTAGAGCTGCCTGTCCAACGATGAAGGTATAGATGAAACAGATAACCCTGTTCCTAGCAACTCCACTTTGTTTGCAGTGCATCCCAGTGCCTTCATGCTCACAGTGCAGGCTGTGGAAGTTGGGTGAGAAATTTGACTACTAGGATTTGTTCAACACAGTTTGCCTTTTACTATTGATCACTGCTTTCCAGAATTGTAAACATGTTTGCAGAACAAAGGTACTGCAAACCTAGACATATGTTGGGTTGCAGAAGTTGCCATCATAGACCCACATGTAGTATCATTCTTGGCACATAGAATTTTAGCAAGTTGAAAACAAAGTTTGCAGGAGCAGGGAAATGTTAAACATCTGCCAAAGTGAATTATGAAGGAGAAATTGTATTTACTAAAAATGTCTGTGCTTTTCAATTACCTGAACATTATAATGCTCAGTATTTCAGGGTTATGTGAAAAACCTAAAATGTTAACATTAACATTGAAACTCACATTCTTCATTGGAGTGGAAGTTAGAAGGTGTCCTGTCTGTCTTACTCTTTTGCATTCAAGGACAGGCTGATTTTTTTTTGAGTTGCTGTAAGGTCATCTGGTGATTTTTTTTTTTTAAACCGAATTGCTGTGAGAAAGTATACAGCTCATCTGCTGGCTCAGGATCTGTGCCAAAAGAACCTTTGGAATAACAACAGCAGAATTCATGAAATTCCTGTGAGTTTCATTCTGTTCTTTGAATGCTGGCTTATTGAAAGATATATGGGCAGCCACAGGCACAGCTAGAATTAGGCACAGCCAGAATTCACCATCTGCCACTACTCTTGGGAGTATAGGAAGATGATGATAATGTTAATATTATTAATTATTCATCTTAGACATTTATTAAGACTCCACAGTCTTTGGCTCTTGGAGCTCATGCTGTAAAGAGCTCGCTTTAAAAAACAATATAGAATAAATTTTACTTAAAATTTACTTGTTCTCAAGTGTTAGAAGGTACAATGGATGGATAACACATTAAGGTTGAAAAAATGCAAAATATAAGGGTATGTATGGCCCTGATACTTTAATAGAATCTTTATTTGAGAACAAATGTAGACCTTTTCTATGAGGTCTTTGAACATGTTCTGTGAACATACAGACTTTTTCTATGAGGAATACCTATATTTGATTCATTAATAGATGTAAAATCAGTTTAATAAAATTTCAACATTGAAAAAGGACCTTGGAATAGCCTAGCCATGTGCCCTGTGCGTGAGGCTTCTCAATAACATCCTCATGGCAGATGTGTTCAGCTTCTGCTTAAATACCTCCCATGACAGGAAACTCATTATTTCCAGAGGAAATTGATCCACTCAACATATTTACTGAGCACCTGTTTACTGTCTGATCCAGTAGAGCTTACACGTAGCCAGAAGAGTCAGACAATGAACAATAGATTCAATTAATAAGTAAATTATATCTCAAGTTCATTCCATTATCAGATGTGTCATTTAGTCAGAAAGCTTTGTCTTATATTTCCTTCCACATAATGATTGTTTAGGTGTTTGAAGAAAGTATTTGTTGCCCTCTCAAGTTGACCTCATTTTCAAACTGTACGCTCCTGGTTGGTGAAACAGTTGTTCATATGTATTAGTTTGCAAGGGCCACCATAACAAGGTACCACAGGCTGTTTGGCTGAAACACCACACATTTGTTTTCTCACATTTCTGAGAGCTGGAAGTCCCAGGTCAAGGTGCTGGCAAGGTTGGTTCTTTATGAGGCCTCTCTCCTGGCCTTATAGATCACAGTCTTCTCCCTGTGTCCTCCCATGCTGTTTGTATTTGTCTGTGTGATAATCTTCTTTTCTTTGTTGTTGCTGTTGTTGTTTTGAGACTGAGTCTCATTCTGTCACCCAGGCTGGAGTGCAGTGGTACAATCTTGGCTCACTACAACCTCCTCCTCCTCCCCGGTTCAAGCCATTCTCCTGCCTCAGCCTCCCAACTAGCCGGGATTACAGGTGCCTGTGGATTTCACCATGTTGGCCAGGTTGGTCTCAAACTCCTGACCTCAGTTGATCATCCTGCCTTAGCCTCCCAAAGTGCTGGGATTTACAGGAGTGAGCCACCATCCCCAGCCACTAATCTTAAAAGGACACGAGTCATATTGGATTGGGTCCACCCTAATAACCTTGTTTTATCTTAGTTGTTACTTTAAAAGCCCTGTCTCTAAATACAGTCACATTCTGAGTACTGAGGGTTGGGACTTCAACATATGGATTTGGGGGGCACAAGTTAGCCCCTAACACATATCCCTTGTCTGTTAGAACCCACAGACATGGGAGGGTAATTCCATGGATAAAACCAGGCAAGATGGTCCCATCCCATGTTCTAGGCATCTAGAGTACCTTTGATAGTCCCAGTATGGTTGACTGATACTGAGCTTGCAGTCTATGAGAAATCCCAAGTCTCTAAACAGCTTGTTTTTTAGTCTTGTCTTAACCTATCCTTTGCATACTTTATTCTTTTGGCTAGTTATGCTGGGGATACAGCAGGGAACCAAGTAGACATTGTCCCGGCTCTTTTGGAACTCAACATATATTAGTGAAGACTGTCAGTGCACAAGTGAACAAACAAATATGTAGTTATAAATTGTAAGATGTACGATAAAGTGAATGAACAGATAAATAAGAGACGAGCCATCCTACTCTTGATAGTTTGTTTTGGTTTGTTTGTTTTGGGTAGGGTATGGAGCTTGGCATTTACCCTGAAATAAAATATTATTTTTAATATATCTGGCCTCTTATTGCACCCTACCCTAACTATTTGTAGAAGAGATCCTGGCTGTTATTTGTTATATTTAGTGCCTCCATCCTTCTTCGCTTTATTCCTAAATGTGATAAGTGTGACACCTCTGGCTTTTTCCAGAGCATTAATAAAAATGTCTAACGGGACAGAACAGTACCATTGTCGTCCTAGAACTAACAGTAATATCCGTTAGCTACACATAGATAAAAGTCCAGCCAGCATATGTAAAGTGAGACTCTTATTAGAAATATTAACAAGATTAACGCTGCCCTCTGCTAAGTTTTCTGTTTCACCAGCCGAGTCTTAAATGTTCATCTGGCTGTACCACACTGATCACAAAAGGCCTTTCAAGTTGTTTGCCTGATGATGTTTAAAGGCCAAACTCATTTAAAGTATTTCACCCATCATGTGGGGAAGTAGAAGTTGTTTTTAGTCTAACCAGAAGGAACATCATTGACAAACCAGAATACCTACGTTTTGCAGGGCCAAGGCTCCAAGGTGATGTTCATCAGCTCCTTTCATAAGGATCTAATGTGCCCATATAGCCCCACTCCAGTCACCCAGGAAGTGTATGTCCAAGGCCAGCACCTACCCAGGCTAATTCCACGATGCCCTCTCTCTCCTTATCTTGGGCATCCTTGGCGTTAATGGCCAGTTCTGTACTTGCTGTCCTGGCTCTACCTGGTTTCCCACACAGACAGTTCCCATGTTTGTGCTCGGCTAATGAACCCAGTTTTTTTGAGTAAGAGGCACCCCAGATCTCTCAGCTAATGGTCCACTGAGCTGACTCTCTTTTTAGTTGGGGTAGGGAGGGTTAATCAAATTTAGACAACTGGGGATTGAACAGATCATCCAGCAGGTACATCAACCTTGGTTATCATAGGGTTACCCACCCAGAGCAGTGGAGAAAATGAAATGTTTTTAGAGACAGTCATACTTGACCTTTAATTTAGCATGGACCATAGCTTGTCAGGGTTCATCAGCAGAGCGGTACTGTTGTAAGCGTTTGCTAATGTAGATATTATTTGACATTAGTTTACTTGCTGATTTGACACATTTTCATACAACATATAGTAAGCCAAATTGCAACACAATGTATGTATTTATTTATTGAATATTCCTTAAACACCTTAAACACCAGAACATGCTAGGCATTGTTCTGGATGCTAAAATTATAGCAGTGAATAAAATAGATACAGTTCCTTCCCTCGCAGATCTTATTTTCTGGCGGGAGAGGGTGGGAGACTAAGACCATGAAAATATGTGTTATTCAGAGAGTGAAATATGCTTTGAATAAAATATAGCAAGGGAAGAAAGTTACAGTGACAGGGGTAGGACATTTGACCTTATTTTAGATGGTCAAGGAACATCTTGTTGATAGGCAGAGACCTGAAGAAAGAGAAAGAGCAAACCATATGGACACCTGGAGAGAAGGAGTTTGGGCAGAAGGAAGAGCAAATGCAAAGGCCCTGGGCTCAGTGTGTTCAAGGAAAAGCAAGGAGGCCACTATGGCTGGTGTGGGGCCGCAGCTTATTCTACACTGCTGTATTTCAGAAAGTGTAGCAAAGAACCAGATTGCTCTTTGCTAGACTTGCCCTATTTTGTTGTGGTTGTTAACTAAAAGTTAATGAGAAAAGAGTGTTTTGGGGTTTTTTGAGATGGAGTTTTGCTCTGTCACCCAGGCTGGAGGGCAGTGGCACAATTTTGGCTAACTACAACATTTGCCTCCTGGGTTCAAGTATTTCTCTGCCTCAGCCTCCTGAGTAGCTGGGATTGCAGGTGCCCACCGCCACGCCCAGCTAACTTTTTTGTATTTTTTAGTAGAAACAAGATTTCACCATCTTGGCCAGGCTGGTCTTGAACTCCTGACCTTGTGATCCATCCGCCTCAGCCTCCCAAAGTGCTAGGATTACAGGCATGAGCCACCACACCCAGCCAAAAAAGTATTTTTTATACTGCTAACTCTGTGTTCTTAATTGGCTAAGGATTTAACGTGTGTGTGTGTGTGTGTGTGTGTGTGTGTGTGTGTGTGTGTGTGTCTGTGTGTTTAGGTATATATTTAAGACATACCTTTTTATGCTTCAATGTGAGCTTGTGAAAGTTAGTAGTTTACCTGATATAAAAGCCTTCCTAATCCATTATGCAGCCTGTGATTAGCAATCAGTCCTACAACTGCTATTATTTTCATCCTCCAAGTAAAGCGTAGGAGTTAGGTAAGTGTCAGAGTAGTTTAAAATTTGAATAAGAACTCAAATTCTTTACTGATTTTCTTCTATACCTACACCTAACTTCTATAGAAACTATCTCTTTAGTGGTGAATGATTTAATAAGCAAAACCTGGGGTGAGTTTACTTCCTGAGGCAAGTTTAGTTTTTAGACATAGTTGGCTTGCCCTGAGCTGCCCTTGGCCTATTTCTGGGCATTATGCATCCTGAGAAATATTGGGATTTTTTTCTATAACAGAGTAAACACTTCTCATGCTTCTAAGTGTAATAGGGCCCTAAGAGGTGGCCCTATCCGGCGCAGAGTGTGCAGGTGATGGTGGGCATGGCTCAGCCTGTGCTGTCTGTGTGCTTCTAATATCCCAGTGCGGCTGTGCCTGTCCACTAACCTGCCGGTTACCACAGCAGATAACATAGTAGACTCAGGTTTCAAGAAGAGCAGCCACCCAGAGCAAATGAATAAAACTGTAACTACTTCATGGTTAGGCTCTCGGAAATGCCACTGATATAACCTCAGTTGGTCCTCAGAAGAAAGTCTGCAAAAACGATAACAATGCATGAACTCATTCCCTGACCGTAACCATCATATTTAAATGCCACAGTTTCTCCATGTGGGAAATTCAGAGACGTTGTGGACCTTTGCATGATGTGAAAGTGTGTTAATTAGCTAGCTAGCTCCTTTTTGGAAAAGAAAACCTCAGAGTAAAACATAGCATTCTTTCTTGGCTGGAACTGCTCCTTCATGAATGATCAGCCAGGTAAGCGTGTTCAGTAAAATTAAGCCTCGCCATTGGCAAGTGTTTGGAGAGCACTAGAAGGTTCATGGATACATCCTGCATCTGCCTTGTTGTTTTCTAAGGGGTGAACATATGGCATTTAAGGAAATTTTGTGGTTAGTAACAGAAGATTTCAAAATTAATCTCTAGAATTTATATCTCTTAGATTGGATATTTTGATAAAAACAATATTCCATACTGTCATGTGATTTCTAGCCTTTGGTTTGTATGAAACAATTGTTTCACTGTTTCTGTAGATTTCTATAAGAAATCACTTGGCAGATACATAGCAAAAGAATGTTATATTTTACATATTTAATGTATTGAAAGGGATGCTATCATACCCTTTGCTTTTGGGCTCACGCACAAAAATAAACCTCATGCTTATATTTAAATTTATTTTTTCACCTAGCATGTTTTAGAATCTGTTGTGTGCCAGGCACTATGCTAGATGCTGGTAATTCAGAAATGAAAGGCACAGCCTTCCACTTCCATCAAGGAGCTTACAATTTAGTGGGGAGACAGCAAAGTAAACTACAAATGCAAGACCAGGTAACAAGTACTACTGGAGCCCAAAGTAAGGGCATTTCACTTTGCCTGGGGAGGTCAGTCAGAGCTTCCCAAAAACATGGGTAAGGGTTAGAGCTGGAATTAAGAGGAAGGAAAAGCAAAATGCATAGTGCAGGGCCTGAGAGTAGTTCACAGCCTGGTGTTTTGTCAGACTTTCAGACAGTTCCCTGTAGCTGAAGCACACGGCTGCATGAAGTTAGAGAGGTGGGAAGGGGTCTTGTATGGCAACCAAGGATTGAGCTGGATCTCAAAAGGGATTGAGAAGCAGTGAACAATCTGGCAGCAGTTATGAGGACTGAGCCAATTGGAAAGCTATTGCATTGAGCCAGGTGAAGTATTACAAATACCATAATTAACAGAACAATGGTAAGAATGAGGATGAGAAAACAGATACAAGAAAATTTTAAGAGGTAGATTCAACAGGGTTTGCTGAGTCTTTGAATCTGAGGGGTGAGAGGGAAGAAAAGCCTTCAATTTCTAACTTGAGTGTCTTAGTAAATGATGATGTCATTCAGGCAATAAAGGAGAAAAGAACTGGGGAAGAAGATTGCTTAGCTCAGATGTAGCCGTGTTGAATTTCAGGTACCTGAGGAGTATCCAGATTGAGGTGGATGATAAGATATAAGGAGGTAATATACGGATGTGGACTTCCACAGAGAGGTCTGAGATTTAAAAGCAATTTGGGAAACAACTGAAGCTGTGGGTTCAGATGAAACACCCTAGGCAGTATTTATACGTAAGAAGGAAAGGGGCTGAATGTGGAGCTCTGAGGTACTCTTGCAGGCAGGGACAGAGAAGGAACCCCTAATGCAAAGAGACAAAATAGTCACAGAGGTAGGAGGACAGAGGAGATGAATGTCATAGTAGCCAAGTAAAATGAACATGTCAAAAAAAGACTTGGCTGGGCACGGTGACTCACACCTATAATCCAGCACTTTGGGAGGCCGAGGCAGGAGGATCATGAGGTCAGGAGTTGGAGACCAGCCTGGCCAGTATGGCAAAACCCCATCTCTACTAAAAATACAAAAATTAGTCGGGTGTGGTGGCAGGCGCCTGTAATCCCAGCTACTCGGGAGGCTGAGGCAGGAGAATTGCTTGAACCCGGGAGGTAGAGGTTGCAGTGAACCAAGATTGAGCCACTTCACTCCAGCCTGGGCAACAGAACGAGACTCAAAAAAAAAAGAAGGCTTGACCAGTGATGCCAAATGCTGTCAAGAGACCAAGTAGGGTGAGGACTGGAAAGTTCCATAGGGCTTGGGCGTTGTTGGTCATGACACACTCATTCCCAGTGTGCTGGAATGACAGTAAATTGGAATGTAGGAGATTAGGAAGGAGAGACAGACAGGGTCGTTTTTAAGAAACTTGGCTATGAGGAGTAAAAGTGAAATAACTAAACATGAGGAGGGAAGGCTGTCTGCTGCTTGTTGCCACTGAATCTGTCAAGCTGATTTCTCCCAAGCTGAGTAAACAAGAGCAGCAAGGGATGCCCTGCCCCCCATCAACATTCAAATCAACAGGATCTTACTGTGTTTTAAAGGATAAGGTTGGCCAATCCTAGTTAGACACCTGTCCCGGGGCTTTGTAGTAACTCCAGATACTCTTAAGTAAAAAAGAGTTTCAGAACTTACTAGAGTTGTTACAGCTTTGATATAAGTAGTCTTTAGTAGACCTAAAACCCTTCCTTTGAATAGCATGCTTGTGAAATAGCTCCAGTGAGAAATGGCTTCTTTAACACACAAGAAGTAACAGGATCAGTGTCTCAACTCTCTGCCTCAACAGGCATTTGAGGGTACACAAAGGGGCATTGGATTTTAGTCCATCCAGTTCTCCCATCAGTGAGGACCTTGGATACATTGTTTACAGCTTGGCCTTGAGGTTGTCATCTATATCGTGAGTGGATTTGCTTCAATGACTTATAAGATCTACTCCTCCCAGATCTGCTGGATTTTGAGCCTGTCTTCAGAGCTTCCCTTTGTTTTCCCTTTCCCCATACCTCCCATGCATTTCCTTTTCTTCCACATATAAAGCTTCTGCAGCACCCAAGTCCGCATTACACTGGTAGGAAAAGAGCCCCATCTACAGCTGACATGGTCAGAGGTTATGTCAGGGAAGTAAGAAGTCAGACATTGAGAAAATTGAGACTGTTCTTCTCCAGCAGCTTACTTTCCTTGGCTTTTCTCCACCCTTTGCTGCCAGCTTATTCTCCATCATGCTTCTCTTAGTCCAAATGGGACTTTGTTCAAACAGATACCCAAGGGCCTAAAAAAAAATGAACAGCTTTTTGCATGGGGAACACTAAAGGCCTGAAGCAGCCAGGGTAAAGTCACTGACCTGCTCTGACTCCCTGCCATGGGTGAGAAGATCTTCATTCATTCATTTAACCCCATGCTGTTCATTCAGTAATTTCCTACTAAGTGTCTACCATGTGCTGTGTTTGCTGTGTTTCCCTTGTGTCCTAGAACACAGGAGTAAGATGCTGACCAAAATAAACATAGAATGTACCTAGTGAAATTTATAGTCCAAACAGGGAGAAAGCATGTTGAAAACTAGCTACACAATAAATGCATAACTACAAATTGTGATAAAGTATTTGTATCAATAAGAAATGTCAACCGTGGCTCTGGATTTAGACCAGGAAGTTAAGGGAAGGCTTCTCTGAGGAAGCAATACTTAGATGGATGAAGGGCAAATAGAAGTTAGTCAAGGGAAGAGGAAAGTGCCTCTAGGCAGGTGGAGCAGCACTGCTGAGCCCTGAGGTGCAGGAGTCCCGGGTGGCAGGGACGGTGCAAGATGAGATTGGAGAGGTAGGCAGGGGCCAACTATGCCACACCTGAAAAACCAGGAAAGTGTAAGGTCATGAAAGCAAGAAAAGAGTTGCAAGAAGAAGGGTGTGGAGCTACATCAAATGCTACCGAGATGCCGTTTCAGTTAAGGGCTGAGAAGTGCCCACTGGCTAAGTGGAAGCTGTTGATCACCTTAGTGGAAGTGTGGCCAGGAAGTCAGCCTGAAAGGGGCTGAAGGGGGAAGCGGGGTGGAGAGAGGAACTGAAGGCTGCGTATAAAGGCAGCTTTGTTGAAACATTAAGTGAAGATTGGGAACTCAGGAAGGTAAGCTAGGAATTTGTATTAGTCTGTTCTCTCATTGCTGTAAAGAAATAACCTGAGACTGGATAATTTATAGAGAAAAGAAGTTTGACTCATGGTTCTGCACACTATACAGGAAGCATAGTAACTTCTGCTTTTGGGGACCTCTCAGGAAGCTTCCAATTGTGGCAGAAGGCAAAGGGAAGCAGGTGTCTTACACGGCAGGAGCAGGAACCAGAGAGAGTGAGGCGGGAGGTGCTGTACACTTTCAAACCACCAGATCTCATGAGAACTCACTATCATGAGGACAGTACCAAGAGGAATGGTGCTAAGCCATTCATGAGAAATCTACCCCATGATCCAGTCACTTCCCACCAGCCCCCATCTTCAACACTGGGGATTACAATTGAACATGAGATTTAGTGGGGACACAGATCCAAACCATATCAGAATTAGAAGGACATGTGGGATAGGGAAAGGTTCTTGGTTTTTTGTTGTTTGCTTTTAAGACAAGAGGTATTGGCTATGTTTTCATTAAGGCAAGAAAGATTTCATAGAAAGGGAAAGGTTAAGATGCAAGAGACCCATAGGAGTGAGACTCTTGGGCACGAGGCGGAAACAGGGTCAGGAGAGGGGACAAAGGTGGCTTTGTGGATTTGATAGCAGAAAAATGAGACTTTCTATCTGGTGCCATATAGGAGGCAGGGTCATCCCTGAGAGCAAGATGGGAGGAGAGAAACAGGAAGGCTGTGGAGCAGTCAGGACAGAAGTGACTGTTGCAGTGAGGGATGCTTGCTGGGCTCAGGAAGGCCTAGTGGGGAGGCCTGCTTCCCCGACTTGCCTGTGGGGTTTTCTACTCACCACCTGCCCCATTGGCCCTGCCAGTGTTCTTAGAAGCATGTAAGAATGGGGTTTAGATTTTGTTCCCCATGTTTTTCCAATGCCAAATTGTACCACGTTATAGAATTTCCGACAGATCTTGAATACTCTGATGTGGGAGCAAGTGTTTCCTGCTCTGGTAATTTGACACTATTTGATTTCAAATTAATTTCATGATTTGTTTCCTGCCTTTGGCCTCATCATTTGAAAATTCTGTGATTTGATGTCTCTCTTTTCTTGTTGTTTTTTTGTAACTATGTCTCACAGTTTAGAGCCTTCCATTTCATTTTTATAGAACATGTGATAAAGTTGGAATCTTTCATGCAAGCCCACTTGCAAAAATATCCAAATATTTTTGCCGTATGCATTTCTTGGCATCCTCTCTCTCTCTCTCTTGCTCTGTGTCTGTCTGTCTGTCTCTCTGTCTCTCACCTTGAGGCAGCATTCGTGGCAATAACTGGAATGTCTGCTGGACCCTTCCTTTCCCTCTCTCTTTTCTCCCCTCTATACAGCTGGTGCTCACCAGGTCCCTGCTGCTGTTCTGTCGCTTGGCTTTGTATCATATTGAGTTTCTGCCCTGTGTTCTCTGTCTTCTTTATATATTAACTCCAGATCCCTGCCACTTTTTTTCCTGGCACCCACAGTCTTTTTCTTTCTTCCAATGACAGTCAGAAGTTTGGGGGGAGCCCTTTTGGAAGCAACAAGTTGTTTGGGGTTCATAAGTTCATACCAAGTATGAACTTGATCTTTAGAAATCAGGCAGGATGAGGAACGAAATGAATATTTTATGAACATCTACTGGTATTAGACGCACTTCTTATGCCACCTTATATTAACCTTTACCATAGCTCTGTGGTAGGGAGTATTGTTTTGATTTTACAGTCAATCAAAGGAAGCCTCTTTGCTTAAAGGGAACCTCTTACGTCACCCTCTTTTTAATTTAACATGAGTTCTGAGTTGCAATTATGAATAGTGTAAAATACAGTTAAACTACATAAACTGTATTTTAACCATATAGTTATTTATATATAACTATATACACTAAACTGTATTTTTAAATACAGTTAAAAATCCTTTATGGGATTGATTTATAGATTTTATAGATTGTATAAATCAATCCCATAAAGGTTCCATAACTGGAGAAATATATGAGCACCAGGACTAGAAAGCGTTTTTCTTTCCTGCCTGAAGCTCAGGGTAGCTGGCGGTTATCACTGTCAATGTCTAGACACGAAATATTCATCCCAGGTAGGCATGGGCCTACGCATGGCCTCAGATCTTGAACTCCCTCTGTGATGTGAAAGTGGTCTCTAGCAGTCAGGCATCTTCAGTCCTGGAGCCCAGACAGAAGGTGTCTCCACCACTAGGTGGGGATGTAGCAGCACCACAAATGAGTACACTCCAAACAGAAAGACCCTCTAGGGCAAAGGCGTTCAAACTTTAAAAAACAATCATTTATTGGCCTGGCGCGGTGGCTCAAACCTGTAATCCCAGCACTTTGGAAGGCTGAGGCGGGTGGATCACGAGGTCAAGAGATTGAGACCATCCTGGTCAAAATGGTGAAAACCGTCTCTACTAAAAATACAAAAAATTAGCTGGGCATGGTGGCGCCTGCCTGTAATCCCAGCTACTCAGGAGGCTGAGGCAGGAGAATTGCCTGAACCCAGGAGGCGGAGGTTGCGGTGAGCCGACATCGCGCCATTGCACTCCAGCCTGAGTAACAAGAGCGAAACTCCGTCTCAAAAAAAAAAAAAGATAGCCTGGGTAACGAGCGAAACTCCGTCTCAAAAAAAAAAAGATAATAATAATAATAATTTATTGCAGTGAAACAACATATAATTAACCATTTTAAGGTGACCCTTCTGTGGCATTTTGTGCATTCGCAGTGTTCAACCACCATTTCTATCTAGGTCCAACACATTTCCATCACTCCAAACTAAAAACCCCCTTCACCATTAAGCAGATTCTCCCTGTTCTCCACTCCCCATAGCCCCTGGCAACAGCCTATCTGTGTTCTGTCTCTATGGATGTACCTGTCTCTATTCTGTACATTTCTTGTAAATAGAATCAAACCATATGTGACCCTTTTGTGTCTGGCCTTCTTAAATTAGCATAACATTTTTGGGATTCCTCCATGTTGTAGCATGTTCCCAAACTCCATTCCTTTTTATGGATTAATAATATCCCATTACATTTATATACCACCTTTTGTTTATTCATTGATCCATTGATGGACAGTGAAGACTTCTGGCTGTTATGCATAGTGCTGCTATGAACATGCATGTACATATACTCATTTAATAACTTGTTTTCATTCCTTTGGGGCACATGTACAGGAGTGAAATTACAGGGTCATATGGTAATTCTATGTTTAACTCTTTGAGGAACCATCAAATTCTTTCCATGGTAGTTAAGCCATTTTGATTTCTCACTAGCAGTGTATAAGGATTTCAAACTTTTTAAAACCATGACTCACAATATAAAGTACATTTTACATTGCAACCCAGTATTTAACTGTATGTATACATACATATGTAACAGAGGTTTCACAAAATAGTACTCATCCTGACTGTGAATCATGCCCTCTAATGTATTCCCTCCTATTCTATGTCATTAGAAAAGTAGCTTGGTTTGACCCACCAAGTTAACTCCACAACTCAGTTAATTTGCTACTAGTTGAAGTCACAGATATTTTCATCATCATTAGAGTTGCTTTAAGCATATTGACATATTATTTATGATCATTATTTTATTTAAAATTGCTTGTAATTATTATAACTGCCTCTGGATAATGTTACTTAAGGTGCTATTTAAAGAAGCAGGTATACACCATACCATAATTTTGTGGTTTTTTAAAATAATTGAATAACTATGTTTCGAAATAATTGCCTTGTCATCCTGTGTCTTCCATTTTAATCATGTAAACACATTATTCTGAGAAGGAATTCATGGGCTTCTCCAGATTGCCAAAAGGGCTTATGGCACAAGAATACTCAGGAACCGTCTAGAGCTACCCTGTCCAATAAGGTAGCCACTAGCCACTAAGTAGCTGTTGTGCACTTGTATGTAGCTGGTCCAAATGTAGATTTGCTGTAAAATACACGCTGGATTCTATTTGGTACAAAAAATATCAAATGTCTCACTAATATTTTTTATGTTTATTAACTGTTGAAATGATTTTTTGGCATATTGGGTTAAACAACATAGATGATTAAAATTAATTTCACCTGCTTCTTGTTGGTTATTTTAATGTTGCCACTTAAAAATTTAACATTGCATGTGTGGTTCGCATTGCATTTCTGTTGGAAATCACTGACTTAGCACCAGATCTGAGTTCCAATGTTGGTTTTATCACATGACCAGCAATAATCACCATTACTGTTACTATCGTTACTCTGCTGTGGGACCCGCCCTGATAAATTTCAGTTTCCTCCTCTGGAAGAGTAGATATAAAGCGAAAGGAGAGCATATTGCTGTGCTTATTCTGTATTCAGCATTTCTCCTAACACATTTCTCCCTACTGGAATTGCCCAGTCATCTCAAATTTTGTCCAGAAGTCTGGTAAAGGCCCACGTCCATGTCCCTTCCCTTATGCTTCTGCTACCCCTTGTTGTTATGAACAGAAAATTTAAATTATATATGGGATAATCATACACCAAGGTAAGGATATAAGCATTCATAGACAAGTAAATATTTTAAAATAATTTTAAAGGATAAGAAAAAGGGGAAACTCCCTTGGGGAGCAAAGAAGGTGAAAAATAAGGCTTGTGGTAGGGTGGAGTAGTAATGTGACCACAGTTGCCACCCATCCTGTATTTATCCAGAGTCCAGAGTGGCATTTGGATAAGACTCAGGCAAACCACCAGCACATTCCTGGAGTTGATGAATGGCCACTTAAAGAGCAGGACACCCTGGCATATCCCTAAACCCAAAACTGAAAGCCCAGCAGGCTATTACAGTGAGGGAAGGTACCAGTGTGTTTCTTTAAGGGCGATGGGCTGACCAGGGACCACTCACCCTCTTATTTGTCTGATTCTTACACTGATGGAGCCCTGAGAATCTAATATTAGCACCCTGGGAATATAAAGCCCTTTCATCTACATAATCTCCTTTAAGATCATGAAACAACCTTATATAAAGGACAGTATCATGTGCACCTCATAAATGAGAAAGAAATAGGTCAAACATGTTAAGTGGATCACTGAGGCCATTACTGGGTGGAGCAGGGCTTACCTGACCATGAGCTTGAGTTTCTCCACAGCTAACACTGAGGGTCAGAATCATGACCCTCCACTTCTGTATCCTTGAGCTTCTCAGAGTGATCTCACCCCTACAGATGTCTGCAAAGATCATTACTCTTGACCTCACTTCTGCCTCCTAAGCTGAGCCGTGCAGTTGGAGTCGCTCTTCCCAGTAGCCTGCTAAGCTGCTGCCTTCCGTCATTCAGACAGTTTCTGACAGCCACACCCTCCTACACAAAGCCCTGCCTGTCTGGTAAAAGAAGGGTGGTGATTTCCCACCCTTTCTAAAAACATGCCTTGTAAGACTTTCTCTGTCCTCTAAAATATACTTGCCCCTTCACAGTCACATTTTTACTACTGTACTGTTAAACATCATCTGTGGGAGGGAAGGTGATGTATGGGTTTTTCTGCTCCACTGTTGTCGGGCTTAGACCACCATTTTCTAAAAGGCAGAAACCCAGAGTCTGTACTGGACAGTTCCATGAACAGATGGTCATTTTGAAGACTCCGAAGGTGAAATCTGTGATGCTCAGTGAGGTACACACCTCTTTTTAAAGCGATAGTTCCAAATGAAGTGATGCTGTGCATACCTTTAATGACTTACACCACTGTCCTTAATCTCAGTGATAATAACCTGGTGTGTGGCTATTGTTTATTCCTGGTTTACAAGAATTGTCTAGTTATATAGTTTCTGCTGGTTTTCCTCTAAGCCAAACAAAGCACTTTGATATTGCTTCATTAATTTCACAGTAGATGACTTGATCTTTTTTTTTTTTGAGATGGAGTTTCGCTCTTGTTACCCAGGCTGGAGTGCAAAGGCACGATCTCGGCTCACCACAGCCTCCGCCTCCTGGGTTCAGGCAATTCTCCTGCCTCAGCCTCCTGAGTAGCTGGGATTACAGGCACATGCCACCATGCCCAGCTAATTTTTTGCATTTTTAGTGGAGATGGGGTTTCACCATGTTGACCAGGATGGTCTCAATCTCTTGACCTCGTGATCCACCCGCCTCAGCCTCCCAAAGTGCTGGGATTACAGGCTTGAGCCACCATGCCCGGCCGACTTGATCGTTTTTTATTGATTTATCGCTTTCTAATCCCCAGTTATTTTTCAGCCCTAGGTCGGCTTCTCCTGCCAGTCACCCAGTGTGTGTTTTTATGAATACTCTTGACATTGGCTTTATCAGAACATAACCAACAAGGTGAATCTATTGGCAAAACTTAAATAATGTATGCCAAAGAGTTACATAGAACAATTTATTACCCAGTGTTCTGCTTTTCCTATGTGATGATAGTTCCTCCCAGTGGTATAGAAAACCAAAGACTGGCTTTCCCGAAGAGACGAGGCAGTTTGGAGATGGGAAATAGTGTTCTTCTTTTATTAGATAAATAACATGTCAAAGGTCATAGAATCAGGGTCAAAATTAAAAGCAGAATCACGTGTTTCCTAATTCCCAGCCCTTCAACCTTGCTGATAGGTGACTATAAACATATGGTCATACCTAGAAAGAAAAGCTTTTTAGCACCTAGAAGGAAAAGAAATGTAAAATTTAAGTAGCATGCACTAAAAACCTATCCAAAATTTCTAATTTTCCTTAGTTTTATTGATATGAAATTATAGGTTTTAATAATTATGTACATTAAATGGTACCTTGAGGAAAAGTGAATCTTTCCCTTATGATTTAAACTCTAATATTTATTTTTGTGTATAAA